TAAAAATTAAAACCTTTTATTCGAAAGAGTACTGACATTTTTTTTTAATAAATAAAATAAATTTTAGTAAGAAAAGAAAAAAATAAAAATTGTTTCTTCTTTTTTCTTGTTAGTTGCTATTTATTTCCGATAGATGATAGATACGAAGAAAAACAAAAAAAAAAAGGAAGGCATTCTTTTTTGAAAATTTTCTTTCCTGTTTTTATAAATTTCAAGTTGTATGAGAAGTTTATTAATATATTTTCAATAAAGTTTAAATCAATATACGATAAGAATTTCTAGATGATTATTTTGAATAGATTTAAATTTTCTATAATACATATAAAATGAATATAGTTGAATATTATTTTTAAATTTTGTTTTTATAGTTTTATTTTTAATTTGTGAATTTTGTTGTAAGAAAAATATTTATTTATCTTTATTTTTTTGTTGATGTTGATTTATTAGTCGACTATGAAATTTTTTTTTAACTTAGAAAAATATTCGTTCAAATCATTTTTTAACTATATGGGTTCATTTAGGATAAACAAAAAAAAAATGATTTTTTTTTTCTAAAAGAAACGTTCTTATCGTTCATATTTAATCAAACAAGTTTCTGCTCACTAAAATTTATCTTAAAGATATAATGAAATGAAAAAATCTGATTTATTCGATTTGTGGTAAAAAAATTTTTATTTTAAAATTTCTCAACAGTTGATTATCTATTAAAATTGATTTTAATATCAGGATATATATATTCTAGTTGATTAATTTTAATTCCTATTTATATGATTAAAAAAAAGTCAAGAAAATTTTATTTTTATTTGTTTTTAATTTCGATTCGATTATTTTTTTTTATTTGTCTCTAGTAAATAAAAAAAAACATAAATTGGAATATAATTTCTATTGAATTAAATAATTGAGTTAAATACTTACCGAATAAATTGTCGTTGTAATTTAGCTAAACGTTCTTCTCGTTCAGTTTCTTCAAGAAGTTCTCGAACTTGTCGTTGAAGATCTTCTTCTAATTCTCGATGAATATTAGCACGCCATTGTTCATATGAATTAGTACCTTTTGTTTTTTAAATTAACATAATAAAAAGTTTGGTTTTAAGTAAAAAAAAACAAAAAGAAATATCAATAAATTTTTGGTTTTTTTCGTCTCTTGTTTCAAAACAAAATATTATCCTACCGAGTTTAACATTTAAAGATCTATCACTATGAGTATAACTATTTGAAGATGGAAGAATGTGAGGCAATTTAAAGGTTGGTACTTCCATTCATTCATTTACCAGACGTCGTCGCTTATGATGTTTTTCCAATGTACATTGAAAAGATTTAGTAAGTGTACAAAAAAATTTTTTTTTTTACTATTCAATTCTTTCCACTTGAATTTCATGTTTTTTTCAATACATACAAAATGTCTATGTACCATTGAGAT